AGTACATCTGTGGGAGTCTTTCAGTCTTGCTTCACACTGAAAGGCACAGTGCCTTGACCTGTGAGCAGGTTGGAAGGCTCCACCTTCAGGCTGGCAAGTCTTTGCCTCTGATTCTGGCAACTTGACTCACACTTTTGTGTTGAATTATGATCGTGGTATATGGTTTTGTCTTTGCTGTTAAAATGTTTTATTCATTCAAGCATCATGCGTTGACTTCTTTCTGTATTTCTGGCAACATGTTGGGTGCAAGGGTGAATAGTATAGTTAATCGTGGAAGTTAATACAGTTAAACTTGAAAGCTCTTTGTTAACTTGAATTAGAAATAAGCAAGGACATAATTACTGTTTCATGTGTCCAGGTGCCATAATAGAGGTCAGTGACAAAGTTCTGTGATAATGCAGAGCAGGGGGTAATGTTATGCGTTGGTGACTCTTATTAACCAGTATTAATCATGGATATAATTTTTTTATGAGTCAGGAATACAACCAAGGTCCTTATTTTACTTTTCTTGGTATTCCCAGCACAAGGCTTGGCATATTAGTAGGTGGTTATTAAATACTTGATAACAAATTGAGTGATGCTTTTTCTTATGAGAGAAAATAAATGTTTTTAGAAGAGTCAGCTTTATACCACAGTTTCAGGGAATGAATTGTGATGAAAAGTGAAGATTGCTTTTACTTGAAAGAGGCTGACAAATTTCCCAGGCCCGGGATCACTTTATGTGGTGCATGATTTAAGGGTGAGTGAGCATGCCAAAGCGCTCCACTTGAGCTGAGTGATGGGGAATGAGTTGTGGAGCTGTGGTCTTAGATGGTATTTTGTGAAAAATAGTAGGAGATTTATGACTATTAAACAACTTTGTAGCCTCCCCTTCTTGTTTTGAAGCCTGCCAAATCTCTTCTCCTGTGGTCTGTATCATGTTCCTTTAGGGCATCCGTGATGTTCAGAAATACCCACTGGAATGCAGGTTTCCATGGAATGCACCCAATGGGCAGGGGCTTGCATTTTACACACACATCCGAAGACATTTGTTTTCTGTAACCCCTGAGTGAAATTCTCACTTTGCAAGTCTCTTGTAGAATGTACTGTACTTTCCTTGAATTTTTTCCAATGAGGTTGCCAAAGTTCTACTTTCCTTCCTGCATTATGGAAATGGCAGAGTGCAGTATATTAGTGACTATTAGCATTATTGATGTGAGTTTAAAAAATCATTAGCAACTCTCAAACTGTGAGTAGGAGAAGAGTACAGAAACCTTCGGCGTGCTCTGACAAATCTGAAGCAGAAGGACTTAACAGCCTGGAAGGGGGATTCCAAGCCTTTACTACTATTTATCAGCTTTTCCCATTCTATTGCCACACTCAATAGCTTTAGAAGAAACAGATTTTTCATAACAAAAAGTTAACCAGACATGGCCCTAGTCCATGTTGTGCAAGTATTGGAAAATTGTGGGAGAAACTTTCCTCTAATTATGGGTTCATATCAAGATAGGACTGTATGGATCAGAGAGGAGTCCTTGTTCTTTTCAATGTTTGTGTTTATTTTTGAGAAATTTTAAAAATATATAAAAGTTTTAAAAATTTGGTAATTTTCTAATATTTTGACATATTTGTTTCAAGTTATCTCTAAATAAAAATAAATAAAACTTATATAGAAAAGAGAACCCCCCCCCCAATTGCATTAGCTCTAATCCTATAACTCTGACCACTGGCAGAGGCAACCATTTTCATGAATTTAATGTATAACTTTTATAATTTTAAATGTTTACAGATACACATGAGATCAAAGAACTACATATTTACATAAATAATATTATACTACATTTATCATTTTGCAACTTGCCTTTCACTCTGAATTAAATTTTCAGACCTCCTCAAATTGAGATGGATAAATCAGGTTTATTGCTCTTAAATACTAAATATTATTCCAGCATATGGATATACAACATTTTACTTATTCATCTTCCTCATTGACAGACGCTTGAATTATTTCCAATTTGTTCTGTTATAAATAATGCTGCATTATTTATGTTCCACCTTACAGACCTGAGTGAAATTTTTCATAATGTATATTTTAGATGGAATTGCTGTCCCAATTTTCAATTTTATACATATTGCTAAA